TGAAAGATGAATAAAATAATGTCTAGGGATTTAAGAAATGGAAATGCAACAATGCCTGTACACATTGAACTTGGATGTCGCTGATGTAGGTTATTGTTAATTGAGTGTTGAAATAACTGGCATGAATCAGCAGCCAACGATGAGGAGGCTGGTGTGTGTGTGTGTGTGTGTGTGTGTGTGTGTGTGTGTGTGTGTGTGTGTGTGTGTCTGGCTCACATGTGTTTTGCCACTACCAGTCTGTCCATAGGCGAAGCACGTGGCCATGCCCCTCTCAAAGATAGTCTCCACCAGGGGCCTGGCAGTAAACCTGTAAGGGAAACACACACATCCAATCATCAGTGTGTGTGGGTACACACTATCTAGCAAAAACACACACTTGAACCCTAACAAACACAAACCATCAAAATACTTTCTATACACACACAGACTAATCCAATGCAAGCATTCCTCCTGGACTGAATTACAGTAAAAACATACATTACCACACGTCAAACAAAACAGTTGTTTTACTGCAACAACAGCCTGCTCTCTGTCTGACCTGTAAACCATTTCATTAGTGGTGCTGTCGTCGAAGGCGTAGTCAAAGCGGAAGGTCTGGTTCTCCAGGTAGCGTGTCAGGTCCACCTTCTGCTTGGGCTCATGGACCATCACCACATCCTTACTGGGGATGGTGATCACATCCAGGTCCCTTATAGTCAACTCTGGAACACACACACACAGCCATGTTAACGAAAGGATACAAAGAAGACGGTTTCCCTGAGCGCCGGCCATAAGGAAATACCGGAATATGACAGATTCTGACCTTCCAAAGGCTCATTGTAGGGAAACTCATGATCCGTTCCTCATCTATGATTGAAGGCTCTGTTTGATGTGAAGGTAGTCCTCCTTACCTTTCTTGTTGAGTGGACGTTTCCTCACACAAACACATATTCTGTGCTCTTCAATCTGACAAAATAAAAACACAAATTGATCAGGCAGTTGTGGGTTATCCTCTATTGGGACAGAGAGAGAGCAGAGTTGTCTGTACCCACCAGGTCTGCGGTGGACAGCGGCCGGTAGTCCAGACTGGCACGGAAGTCTCTGATCATATACAGGATCTCATAGTTCGGGATGGTGGTGTCCACCTCCTGAGATAGCATACATTGAACAGTGTCATAACTGTTTCTTTCATTCATTTTGCAAGTAATCACTAAAGACAATGTGTTCAACGACTAACACGTCTATAGGGAGGTTAAATAAGTGAGCCAATTCTCTCACTTTATCCTCATAAAAAAACAACACAGATATTAGAGAAGAGATGGAGGGAGGGGGGTCAGAGGATGGAAGGAGGAGGAGTCCCCCTGTACCTGTGCTTTCTTCTCTCTCAGCTCCTGTTGCTGTATCCGTCGTCTCTCCCGCTTCTCCTGCAGTTTCTCCACTTCCTTCACACAGTTGGACTTCCTCCTCGCTGCCAGAGGAAAACGCATGCAAAGGAACAGGAAAGACCGTCACAAATGCTGCCTTTCACAGAACATCCTCACACTCAGCCTATTTTAAAGGGATCTCTTCCTCTCTCCATCTGCTGGTGTTTCCCTCCTCTACTCTAGGGCTGTTCAGACAGAGTGGTGTCTGGCTGGGGGACTGGGCCTAGCTAGCACCCAGGGGGAAAGCAGCTCTACACACACCGCCTCCAGCTCTCATCCACTCTGCATCTCTAAAGGGCTTTATGTCTGATCCTGCTGCTCCCTGCTAACCATTCATTTTACTATACTATTACACTACTACAGGGCTCTTCTTGACTGACCAACAACAGTCAGATGCTGCTTCCTAACTAGGGAAAGCAGAGACATGAGTACATAGGGGACTTTCAGTCTAGGTTCCTCAAAAGTTACATAAATCCTCCCTCACATTAGTTTTTGACTCTTTAAAACACACAGAAATACCCAATACAATTATTACAATTTAGAAACCCAATTCATAATTTGAACACCCATATCCGATTAAGAAAAGAGGACAGTATAAAATGAGGGTCAGTAGCCCCTTCTGATTCCACCAGACCCAAAGATATCCAGCTGAGCACCACAGCAACCCTTCCTCCAGCATACAGGCCACCGAACGCCTGCAGGCTTGTCATTCAAAGCAGAGAGCAGGGATTAATAATCTGCAGTAATCTGGGGGAGCAGGGCCAGGTCAGAGCCAGGCTAGGCCGGCGGGAACGGGAGTGAGAGAACGTTACGAGGAAGTCTCCGTCGGATTCCATTGGCGGTGGCAGATAACCGCTCAAAGGGGGAGTGGAAGGGAATTCAAAATACTATTGTTTCTGCTAGGACCTACTGAGGGAAAACTGCAGCACCACAGGCTACTGTGTGTGTATGTATGCATGCATGCATGTATGCATGTATATTCATACCCCTTTACTTTTCCCACATTTGTTGTGTTACAGCCTGGAAAATAATAATTGGGGATTGGAATGTGTCAATGGCACACACAATACCCCATAATGTCAAAGTGGAATTATATATACACTACCATTCAAAAGTTTGGGGTCACATAGAAATGTCCTTGTTTTCGAAAGAAAAGCAATTTTTTTGTCCATTAAAATAACATCAAATTGATCAGAAATACAGTGTAGACATTGTTAATGTTGTAAATGGCTATTGTAGCTGGAAACTGCAGATTTTTTATGGAATATCTACATTGGCGTACAGAGGCCCATTATCAGCAACCATCAGTCCTGTATTCCAATGGCACGTTGTGTTTGCTAATCCAAGTTTATCATTTCAAAAGGCTAATTGATCATTAGAAAACCATTTTTGCAATGATGTTAGCACAGCTGAAAACTGTTGTGCTGAATAAAGAAGCAATAAAACTGGCCTTCTTGACTAGTTGAGTATCTGGAGCATCAGCAATTGTGGGTTCGATTACAGGATCAAAATGGCCAGAAACAAATAACTTTCTTCTGAAACCCGTCAGTCTATTCTTGTTCTGAGAAATGAAGGCTATTCCATATGAGAAATTGCCAAGAAACTGAAGATCTCGTACAACGCTGTGTACTACTCCCTTCACAGAACAGCGCAAACAGGCTCTAACCAGAATAGAAAGAGTGCGAGGCCCTGGTGCACAACTGAGCAAGAGGACAAATACATTAGTGTCTAGTTTGAGAAACAGACGCCTGACAGGTCCTCAACTGGCAGCTTCATTAAATAGTACCCGCAAAACACCAGTCTCAACGTCAACAGTGAAGAGGCGACTTCGGGATGCTGACCTAGGCAGAGTTTATATTTAATACATTTTAAATTCAGGCTATAACAACAAAATTAGAAATAAATACTTTCTGAAGGCACTGTATGCATGCATGCGTGTGTGAGGGAGACTCAGTGGAATTTAAAAGGGGAACAGCAGCGCTATGATCTGGTTTTTTTCCTGCTGTAAATTCCTGGCTGGATTGCATTTATTCTTTCCTATCCCTGCTTTGAATATAGCCTTTTAGGTGAGTAATAATCACAAACTACAGGTTCTTCAGAGGAAAGCAGCAGGGTTCCACAACAACATAAACCATTGGGGTTGGGAGAGTTGATACATACAAAGCTGTCCAAACTCCTTTCTTGTTAGCTGATGCATTGACGCTTCTGTGATACACATATGATCGACAAAACATAGAAAATAAGGAACATCAAGACTTTATCAAATTCTGTTTAGGAGGGTGAAAATGACAGAACATTCCGTTTTTGCAATGACTAAATAACTCAAAATGTAAATCCCCCATTAATGGATGTAGGTAGTTCCTACCATTGGCTAACTGTTGGGCTGTCTGTGCGGGCTGGGCTGGCTGCTGAACGGGGGGAGGGGGAGCAGGTTCTGGCTGCTGGGGCTGAGCTGGTCTGGCCCTGGTCGACACCACTGTGGAACCCAGCACAACAACACATCACAGGTCAGAGGTTAGAGAGTTATATTGTACACATCACAAACATTGCAAATCAAGAGGGCCTGTTTAAATTGAATTAAGCAACATGGCACCCAAGACAAATGAAAGGAACTGTTAATGGTCAGAAATATGTATACACACATTTACATTTAAGTCATTTAGCAGACGCTCTTATCCAGAGCGACTTACAAATTGGTGCATTCAACTTAGGATAGCCAGTGGGACAACCACCTTTTTCTTTTTTTTTTTTATGGGGGGGTGGGGGGAGGGGGGTAGAAGGATTACTGTTATACTATTCCAGGTATTCCTTAAAGAGGTACAGGTACACACACACACCTCTGTTATCCCTGGACGGAGTGTCATTCTTAGCGGGTGCTATTGTTCGTCGGTTCTGCAAAATAGCACAAAAGATGGAAGTAAGATGCAATCCAAGATGGCATAGCAGTGCGGTCGTGTTTTCTGTAGTGTCCTCATGTAAATAGCCTGTTTTTTTTTTCTTTTTTTTTTTCGTATATATTTCTCAATCTCACTTTCCATCCTTTAACTAAATATACTTTCCTGCAACCCGCCTCACCCAATGTGGAACGGATTCTATTATTTCTTCATACATTTTTATCCATGTATTGCTATTAGCCACCATTAGCGGTCTTCACCATTGTCCGTGGCCTCCACTATCCACCAGCCAGCTCTATCCCTGGACAATTATCGGCCAGTCTGCACATCGCGCTATCGTATTTTCTGCCGGAATCACTGAATCACTGGACCTTAAAACCGGATCATCGCAACTAGCTAGCTACAACCAAATGGCTGTTGTCGTTGTTGGCTAATCACCACTGTCCTGAAGCTAACCCCAGTTAGCCTTGAGCCAGCCTCGAGCCAGGCCCATCTCCCTCTCTGTCAACCGGACGGGACCTCCTAGTGTTGACACGGAGCCCCGCCGATCCATCACGACTGGTCTGCCGACTTAATCGTCTGATGTGGTTTCAACAGGCTTCCCGTTGCGACGACCACGAAGATCCATCTGCTAGCCCCGGCCCGCTAGCACACGCAATCAACAGTCGTTCCTCCTGCTCGCCTGTAGCGGACTTACTTATTGCTGTTCACTGGACCTTATGATCACTCAGCTACACAGCTGATGCCTGCTGGACTGTTCCTTTATACGGTACCCCTTCCTGTTTATCTGTTTAGCCTAACTACTTTTTCAATGTAGAGCCCCCAGTCCTGCTCAACCTGTCTCAGATAGCTAATTTGTCCCACCACCCACACACGCGGAGACCGACTCAATCGGTGCCTCCAGTGATGCTATCTCTTTCATCTTTACCCAACGCTTAGGTTTACCTCCACTGTACTCATAGCCTTCCATATCCTTGTCTGTACATAATGCCCTGAATCTATTCTACAACGCCCGGAAATCTGCCCCTTTTTTTCTCTGTACCCAACGCACTAGAAGACCAGTTCTTAAAGCCTTTAGCCGTATCCTTATGCTACTCCTCCTCTGTTCCTCTGGTGATGTAGAGGTTAACCCAGGCCCTACAGCCCCCAGTATCACTCTTGCTCCCCAGGCGCTATCATTTGTTGACTTCTGTAACCGCAAAAGCCTTGGTTTCTTGCATGTTAACATCAGAAGCCTCCTCCCTAAGTTTGAGTTATTCACTGCGTTAGCACACTCCGCCAACCCTGATGTTCTAGCAGTGTCTGAATCCTGGCTTATCTCGATAGAACTGCCAAAGGGGGCGGAGTTGCAATCTACTGTAGAGATAGCCTGCAGAGCTCTATCATACTATCCAGGTCTGTGCCCAAACAGTTTGAGCTTCTACTTCTAAAAATCCACCTTTCCAGAAATAAGTCTCTCACTGTTGCCACTTGCTACAGACCCCCCTCAGCCCCCAGCTGTACCCTGAACACCATATGTGAATTGATTGCCCCCCATCTATCCTCAGAGTTCGTAATGCTTGGTGACCTAAACTGGGATATGCTTAACACCCCGGCCGTCCTACAATCTAAACTAGATGCCCTCAATCTCACACTAATTATCAAGGAACCTACCAGGAACAACCCCAAATCTGTTAACATGGGCACCCTCTGATATCATCCTGACTAATTTTCCCTCTAAATACACCTCCGCTGTCTTCAACCAGGATCTCAGCGATCACTGCCTCATTGCCTGCGTCAGTAATGGGTCCGCGGTCAAACGACCACCCCTCATCACTGTCAAACGCTCCCTAAAACACTTCAGCGAGCAGGCCTTTCTAATTGACCTGGCCCGGGTATCCTGGATGGATATTGACCTCATTCCATCAATAGAGGATGCCTGGTTGTTCTTTAAAAGTGCTTTCCTCTCCATCTTAAATAAGCATGCCCCGTTCAAAAAATTCAGAACTAAGAACAGATATAGCCCCTGGTTCACCCAGACTTGACCGCCCTTGACCAGCACAAAAACATCCTGTGGTGTACTGCATTAGCATCGAACAGCCCCCGCGATATGCAACTTTTCAGGGAAGTCAGGAACCAATATACACAATCAGTTAGGAAAGCAAAGGCTAACTTTTTCAAACAGAAATGTGCATCCTGTAGCAATAACTCCAAAAAGTTTTGGGACACTAAAGTTCATGGAGAATAAGAGCACCTCTTCCCAGCTGCCCACTGCACTGAGGCTAGAAAACACTGTCACTACCGATAAATCTACGATAATAAAACATTTTAACAAGCATTTTGGTACGGTTGGCCATGCTTTCCACCTGGCTACCCCTACCCCGGCCACCAGCTCTCCACCCTACGCTGCAACTTGCCCATGTCCCCCCCCCCTCACCCAAATTCAGATAGCTGATGTTCTGAAAGAGCTGCAAAATCTGGACCCCTACAAATCAGCTGGGCTAGACAATTTGGACCCTTTCTTTCTAAAAATTAGCTGCCGAAATTGTCGCAACCCCTATTACCAGCCTGTTCAACCTCTCTTTTATATCGTCTGAGATCCCCAGAGATTGGAAAGCTGCCGCAGTCATTCCCCTCTTCAAAGAGGGTGACACTCTAGATCCAAACTGTTACAGACCTATATCTATCCTGCCCTGCCTTTCGAAAGTATTTGAAAGCCAAGTTAACAAACAGATCACCGACCATTTCGAATCCCACGTACCTTCTCCGCTATGCAATCTGGTTTCCGAGCTGGTCATGGGTGCACCTCAGCCACGCTCAAGGTCCTAAACGATATAATAACCGCGATCGATAAAAGACAGTACTGTGCAGCCGTCTTCATTGACCTGGCCAAGGCTTTTGACTCTGTCAATCACCGCATTCTTATTGGCAGACTAAATAGCCTTGGTTTCTCAAATGACTGCCTTGCCTGGTTCACCAACTACTTCTCAGATAGAGTTCAATGTGTCAAATCGGAGGGCCTGTTGTCTGGAACTCTGGCAGTCTCTATGGGGGTGCCACAGGGTTCAATTCTCAGGCCGACTCTATTCTCTGTGTATATCAATAATGTCGCTCTTGCTGCTGGTGACTCTCAGATCCACCTCTACGCAGACAACACCATTTTGTATACATCTGGCCCTTCATTGGACACTGTGTTAACAATCCTCCAAACGAGCTTCAATGCCATACAACACTCCTTCCGTGGCCTCCAACTGCTCTTAAACACTAGTAAAACTAAATGCATGCTCTTCAATCGAACGCTGCTTGCACCCGCCTGCCCGACTAGAATCACTACTCTCGGCGGGTCTGACTACAAATACCTAGGTGTCTGGTTAGACCGTAAACTCTCCTTCCAGACTCACATTAAGCATCTCCCATCCAAAGTTAAATCTAGAATCGGCTTCCTATTTCGCAACAAAGCCTCCTTCACTCATGCTGCTAAACATGCCCTCGTAAAACTGACTATCCTACCGATCCCTGACTTCGGCGATGTCATTTACAAAATAGCCTCCAACACTCAACTCAGCAAATTGGATGTAGTCTATCACAGTGCCATCCGTTTTGTCACCAAAGCCCCATATACTACCCACCATTGTGATCTGTACGCTCTCGTTGGCTGGCCCTCACTACATATTCGTCGCCAAACCCACTGGCTCCAGGTCATCTATAAATCACTTCTAGGCAAATCCCCGCCTTATCTTAGCTCATTGGTCACCATAGCAACACCCACCCGTAGTATGCGTTCCAGCAGGTATATCTCACTGGTCATCCCCAAAGCCAACACCTCCTTTGGTCGCCATTCCTTCCAGTTCTCTGCTGCAAATGACTGGAACGAACTACACAAATCTCTGAAGCTGGAGACACTTATCTCCCTCACTATCTTTAAGCATCAGTTGTCAGAGCAGCTTACCAATCACTGCACCTGTACACAGCCCATCTAAAATTAGCCCACCCAACTACCTCATCCCCATATTGTTATTTACATTGTTATTTATTTTGCTAATTTGCACCCCAGTATCTCTATTTGCACATCATCTTCTGCACATCTATCACTCCAGTGTTAATACTAATTTATAATTGTAATTATTTTGCACTATGGCCTATTTATTGCCTTACCGCCATAACTTACTACATTTGCACACACTGTATATAGATTTTCTAGTGCTATTGACTATACGTTTTGTTTATTCCATATGTAACTCTGTGTTGTTGTTTTTACCGCAATGCTTTGCTTTATCTTGTAAATGAGAACTTGTTCTCAACTGGCTAAATAAAGGTGAAATAAAATAAATAAATACAAATTGACAAAATAAATTGAAGTACATGAGGATTAAACAGTAATCATGGCTTACGAGAGAGATTTTACCCAGCTCGCTAGAACACAACCCTGAAGAGTAGAACACTTCTAACTTGCATGACTGCAAAATAAGGGTTATAAAAATAGACAAATACTGAGAATCAGATGACTTCTTATTACTGGAGCATCCTTTGTTCTGTTCAGTGGTTTTCTGCCACTCCATCAGCGGCCCTCTGAGGACACACACTGCACAAGCAGACTTCACCCTGCAGTGGTTATACTAGCAGTCCATAACAGAAGACCCCAAAAAACGGGCTCACCTTGGGGATCTTGTTGACCTTCACAGAGGTGGGCGTTGGTGGGGGCGGGGTCTCTGGTCCGGGGGCGATCTCCTCTTCTGGGGCCACGTCTGGGTTTAGTGCAAATATACTCTCCAAGTCAATCTGGACAGAGAGAAGAGTGTGTTACTGTAATTGTAGATAACTCATACAGTCGCTTCTCAACATTTCCAGTAGTCCGTTCTTTTTAACCTTCTTGTGTGTGTGTGTGTGTGTGTGTGTGTGTGTGTGTGATGTGGCAATGAAAGTGTGGACTGTCAATGTATATCTGTTTCCTAATGGTCATTACCACACCTTCTAACAGAGACAATTGTACCTATATGTCACCGGCACCTCTTGCAGAGTTCACCACAAGTTGGTGGCGCCCTTTTTAATGGTCCTTTGAGCCATATTCTTCAAGTCAATATTCAACAGGAGAATTAACACAATATACTTTACACAACATTATACCACAGCATTGTTGAATATTCGTTTCTGATTGGCTGAAAGGGCAATCTAGTGTGCATTATTTCTCTGTAATGCACAGCAATAACTAACAGTTCTATGTTTGAGCTGCTTTTGAAAGCAAAAGTCCAGTTGAAAGCATTACTGGCATTGTTGAATTTGATTTCTCATAATAGTAAGATAGGAGGCCTGATGGTTTGGTTAGCTGAGCTGGCATGTGAAGAATGTGCCTTATATGTTACAGTGTATGGAGGGCAGGGAGGCGCATCTGTGTAGCTCAGAGGAGCAGAGAGCAGTAGGACAAGTAACACATCTGTATTCAACAGAAAAGCTCAGGAAATATGACTGCTGTAAGGCTCTCTGAACTCATGTATATTCAGGGCAGCGAGTGATGTCTGGCGGAACTGTACAACATGCAGGAGGATTGTGTAATCTCAAAAGCTCTAGAATGTCTTCAGATGCAATATTCATAGAGCTCAATGCCTAAGAGCTGAGCGGACGCCAGCTGTGACTCTAGGTCCTAGCTGGGTTCCTTTACCTCTTTCCCTTTGGTGTCTCCATTTTCTATCCACTCCACGGTGACGCTCTCATTATCTTCATTCAACGACGTGACCATGGCTTGGTGTATTCGTCCTGTAACAGAAAGCACGTGTGATTGGTCATTATCTAAGGTCATTTCCATGTAAAATTACCCATGAGCACCAACATGTGCAGTTCATAGGAGCACGTCAAATTGGGTGTCAAATTAAAGGTAAGAGTCTATTTGAGAAATTAAGGCATATATAAATTTTTCAACCATTTGAAATAAACAAAGGCTTTGATTTCTGGTCAAACAGATACCAGGAAAAGTCTTAAAAGGTATTAGAAATACATCAAAACACAATGTTGAAGACCCCTGCCAACTAATATCAACAATCATATTTAGTTTTCTGTAAGTTTAATAAACATTGCCTTATGCCTTGAAATTCCGTTAACAAAAACACACATATCTTTAAGATATTTTCTAATTTCTCTCCCTCATGAGGGAGGAAAATGAAAGTTCACAGAGGTAACAAGTTAACCTATCAATTAGTTAGTGTTTTTACTGATTTTGAAATTCTGTTACCAAATCTGTAATGGAATTTCCCCCTCTTTTTTTTTTACTGACCTCTACTGTGCTCTCCAAACTTGTGAAACATAGATGTCTATGATTGGTTCAGATTTGGTCCGGTCCAACCAAATTTGGTCTTGTTTGGGGGCAGAGCTCATTAAAATTATACCCAGTGTGTAGAATAATACCCAAATATGCAAAGAAGGATATTGCATATTTATTTGTGCACGTATTTAGGATACATCACCATGAAGAGAATGAAATTCATACCCATAATTATGCATTTCTGTTACCGCAATTCCATTACCAGGCTATGGAGTCACCCTTTCCCCGTCCTTCCTCCCAGCTGCTGGTCTAAATACACATTACACAGGCAGCACAAGCTTAGCCTGCTCCATAATTACCAGCAAGCTTACCGCTCCCTCCACCATGTCTTTGTAAGTGCCTAACCCTGGTCCCTGACACACACTACCCACACACTCATACATACTACACTGACACTCCAATACACACCCTACATACGCTGCTGCTACTACTCTGTTTATTATCTATCCTTGTTAGAGCCGATTTGGGCATATTTTGTATAAAAGACTGAACATACTGAGCTCCATGTACATTTGTGTAAATATATTAAATATTAATGTATATGATGAAATATTAGGTACGTACCTTTATGATTTATTTACCGGATTGAGATATATTCATTTGTTATTAGTGTAACTCAGTTTTTGGCCCCCCCTCTTGCCCATTCATTGTACTGTGTTAATTGTGTTAGTATGAAGGCAGGAAGTTGGGCCTTCGGGGGGAGGAGTCCTTGCTAGATGCGGGAGCGGTATAGTTTTTTGACCATATAGACATACAGAAATACAGACAGACAGGTCATATTATATTATGTATTTGCATTTCAAGTAATCTCTGCTTTAAGTTGATTGGAGAATACCTTTTTGTTAGATAAGAAGAATAAACATTTTCTGTTGCACTATATCCCTGGATCTCATTGAATGTTTGGCCGTTTGGAAACGTTGAGTGTGGACTGTATGCGTCCGAAACAACCCCGCTTCAGGCTAGGGCAGTGGCTATGGTAAAGAGGAAAGGAAGCCACTACATTCAAGTCAAAAAACTCCGTGAAGGATTACTACCGGAAGGAAATCTCCGGTTCGGACACACGCTGGACTTTGTTCTATTTGTAATTGCATTCGGACCATAAGGACAGCTCGCTTGGAAGGATTTAAACTCCTAGATTTCGCCAGCCGTGAGTAACCACTGCGAATGAATGAGCTGCCCTGTTCAAGGCGATCGTTTGATCATGCATATTATGGAAGCGCAAATGTGCTTATAATTGGAATGTTTGATAAACTTGGGAATGGAATTCAAAATACAGCGCTGTGAAAACAATTAAGAAGTTTAAGTTTGGGAAACACAGATCCTATGCACAATGTAGCCTAATCATATATCTAATATTTGGCCTAACGTGGAAATGCAATCCATCAACGCAACGAATGCAACTTAAGGATCTAAAGATACTGCGTGTTAAAACTTCATTAAAGGGACAAAACCTCAACGGGATGAAATGTTTAAAACGCATCTAAAATGCCAAACTTGCACATGTGCAATTCAAAATGGGTCAATATGCTGAAATGGATGACTGTGTTTTTAAAGATTAAAGGAGGTCTAAAGGGGCATTACGTTTAACAATCAAACCAACAACCGTGTCATTGTAAATTGAGTGAACTAAAAGTGAATGATGGAGGAGGAAAACCCAAATAAGACTCCACTGGAGAGGGCAGAGGAGCATCTAAATTCACTCTATGCAGCCCGGAGAGGCAAACTTGGAGTGTGTACACGCAAAATGAATGAAATAAAAGTCCTTCTTGTTGATGGAGGAAACATTGCAACTGTGAATGAGAGTCTTGAAGCATTTGATGCTGTGCTCAATGACTTTAAGAAGGCTCATGAATCTGTGCTAGAGCTGGTCACAGATGAGGAACAGGAACAGGAGAGCATTAACTACTATCAACCAAGAATGAGAACTTATGAACATTTCCTGAAAGAGGTGGAAATATGGAAAAAGGCTGAAGTTGAGCCACAAACGCTCATTGAACCACATGACAGCATTTCCAATGTGTCAAAAATATCAAGTAAAACTAAGTATTCTAAGACTGCTTCCTCAGTGTCCTCTGAACGCCTTAAAGCCGAGGCAGAACGAGCAGCTCTACTAGCTCGTCAAGCATCATTACAAGACAAGCATGCATTGGAACTGGAGAAAGCTCAACTGAATGTTAGGATGGAAAAAATGGCACTGGAAACGGACATAGCAGCATATAATGCCAAACTGAAGGTCCTGGAGAGTACCGAGTCGACTTCTCAATCCCATTCTGTGGCAGCCCATTTACTAAGCCAAGAAGATGGAATGAACTCTTATTTTGAGAAACAGGAACCAGAGGTCTATGTGGAACCTGAACCATCACCTGTTGAGTTTGCTGCATTAGGTGCAGTTCCAAAGACCCCACTACAAAGAGTTTTACAACAACCGACCACAAAGCCATCAAACCCTATTCCGAAAACAGTCGTAAACCACACTCTTCAGCAGCCGACAGCAAGGTCTAGCAATCGACACAGAATCAACACTGCGGGTATCAGCCATAATACCAGCCATGATAACCTCTCTACTGTCATGCAAAGGCAGAATGAAATTGCTGACCTCCTTGTACTACAGCACAAACAAGCCACACTCCCCGTTAGGGAGATACCTATGTTTGACGGTGATCCTCTAAACTTTAGGCCATTCATGCGTGCATTTGAGCATGGTATAGAAGATAAGACAAGCAGTCACCAGGATAGGCTCTATTACCTGGAACAATACACCTCTGGTCAGCCCAAGGATCTGGTCCGTAGTTGTCTGCATATGGAAGCCAGAAGAGGCTATGCAGTAGCTAAGAGGTTGTTAAAGGAACACTTTGGCAATGAAATCAAAGTCACCACTGCTTACATGGAAAAGGCTTGGAACTGGACAAACATCAAACCCGATGATGGAAAGGGACTGGGTGGTTATGCACTCTAAGAGGTTGCTGTAACGCTATGCAAGACCTACAGAACATGGAAGAGCTTAATCTTCCCTCCAACATAAAGCTGATCATGTCAAAACTTCCCTACAAACTAAGGGAAAAATGGAGGTCTATGGCATGTGATATTTTAGAGAGAAGTCACCTGAGGGCCCAGTTCAGTGACCTGGTAACGTTCATGGAAAAACAGGCCAAAATACTGCAGGATCCGTTGTATGGAGATATTCAAGATCCCCTGTACAACAAAAGGTTTTTAAAACCCAAAACAGAAGCTGACTTTAAACAGCAGTTCAAGTCCAAGAGTAGGGGAAGCAGCTTTACCACTACAGTAGCTGTAGTGGCAGATTGTTCTTTTAAAGGTTTTTCAGAGTCACAAACATTCAAAGTAAAGAGACCAGGCACCTACCCTTCTGATGCTCCCAGTATCTCATGTATATTTTGTGCTGGTGCGCATTTATTGGTCGACTGCCAACAGGTGAAGGCACAGCCACATGAATTCAAGGTTGAGTTTCTGAGATCAAAAGGCCTTTGTTTTGGCTGTTTGATGAGAGGACACTTAAGCAGAGAATGTAAAAGAAGGATGACCTGTCAGAGCTGTCAAAGAAAGCACCCCACTATCCTGCACATTGAAGGAAGAGAGAGATTTAGATCTCAAAAGGCAGATATGAGTGGTGTAGCAGTAAAGCGGGAGGAGACTGTCAGCAGTGCTCTTGTTTCACTGGAAGCTGGTGAAGATACCGGGGCCGGTACAGATTGTGCACTTGCAATTGTGCCAGTTCAAGTAAAGGTGGCAAATGGAAGCAAGTCTGTGTTAACCTATGCGTTTCTCGATTCTGGTAGCTCAGCAACATTTTGTACGGAGAGACTCATGAGGCAGTTGCAAGCTAAAGGCAGTGCGACTGAAATTCTGCTACGCACAATGGGGCAGGAGAGTCCTACCAAGAGCTTTGAGATATCTGGATTAGAGATTGGCAATGTGGAAGGCGACACATTTCTTGCATTACCAAAGGTCTACACCCAACATAAGATCCCAGTGACAAGAGAGAACATTCCCACTCAGAAAGAGCTCAAAAGGTGGCCATACCTGAAAGAGGTTCAGTTGAAGGAGATTGATGCTGACGTCGAACTTCTGATTGGCGTAAATGCTCCAAAGGCAATGGAACCCTGGCAAATCATAAATAGCCAAGGCAACGGACCGTATGCAGTGGAAAACCCTCTTTGGATGGGTGATGAATGGTCCTCTCAACAGTTGTACCATGGCAGAAGAATCCGGGCGTCCTACGGTGATGGCCAATCGTATCTCAATGGCCGACCTGGGGGTTCTTCTTGTAAATCAGTACAACCATGACTTCCCTGAGAGAGAGTATGAAGAGAAAAGTGAGATGTCAGCTGAGGATCGTAGGTTTATGGAGATAGTATCAAGCTCCATAACCCTCAAAGACCATCACTACTACTTACCGTTGCCCTTTCGCAACAAAGATGTAGTCCTGCCAAACAACCGCGACATGGCAAAGCAGCGGGCTC